TGTTAAACAATGGTTATTTTTTTAAAAAAATAAATAAAAAAGAGCATAACTGAAAAGCTGAGCCTTTCACCAGGCTGCCACTCATTAAATTACCCATAAAAGTCCCCTCGTAGCAATAATGGGAGTAGCTGCCCGTGAAAATCCCTCGGCAACTGGATGTAAATTCCATCTTTAGTCTCCCTGCTACAACAATAGCACATTCAGATGGTAATTGCTGATGTTTCTGCATTGTGATCGTGTCCACAAGCTGTTGGCTTCACAATGGAGCTGATCCCTTGATTTTCCTCATTTTTCTCCCCCCCTGCTCCCTCTCCCAAATAGGACGTGTCCATCCACACACATGCACGAGTGAATTTGGGGCTCAAGCAGCAGCACGGACACCAGAAATCTTTGCTCTGGCACTGGGAGGTCCCTGGTACTCTTGCCTAATTCATATATTATGAAATACCCTCAGGCCTGATTCTCCTTGGTATCATACTCATTGAACTGCAGAGTGCTTTGAGTTGGGAGGGACCTTAAAGATCATCTTGTTCCAACCCCCCTGCCATGGGCAGGAACATCTTCCACATGACCAGGTTACCCCAAGCCCCATCCAACCTGGCTTTAAACACTTCCAGGGATGGGGCATCCACAAGCTATCTGGGCAACCTGTTCCTGTGCCTCACCATCCTCACAGGGGAGAAATTCTTCCTTCTATTTGATCTAAATCTACCTTCTTTCAGTTTAAAGTCATTACTCCTTTGTCCTATCCCTACAAGCCCTTGTAGAAGTCCCTCTCCAGCTTTCTTGTAGACCTCCATTAGATAGAGAGGCTCCAGGGCTGGACACAGTACTTGTATTTTGGCCTGCAGAATTGGCCAAGCATGGAGCAAATCTTCCCAGCAACTGAGGTTTGGAGGAAGTGTCTTGCAGTGAGAGATTTTTGGAGTTCAGCCTGCTTAATGCAGCAAAGGTTAAGGAGTAACTTGTTCTTGGGTCTGTAAATGCCTTTCCAAACAGTAGAGATTGGACACTAGACAACTTCTTAATCTGGCAGAGACAGAAGGGCTGGAAGGGGAAACACCAGTAAAAAAAAGGAAGTGAAGGGTGAGCACATGTGAGGAAGGAGGGTCTGCATTTGTTCAGAGCAATGGGGACAGTAATTCAATGGAAAAGTTTATCAGGAAACCCCCCAGCACTTCAGACTAGAAATACCTTGATTTATTTTTTGGGGGGGAAGAAGCTCCATTTAAATCTCAGATTCAAGTTCTTTGCTGAAACAAATTCAGGAGATTCTCTGGCCCAGACATGAAATCAATCAGATCTGTTCATCATAAAAATCCCTCCAGCCCTGGAGTCATCTGCTTTACCAGGGAGCAAATTTCAGGGGCACATATTTAACCCTGTTTTGCAGTCACCATCTTGGACCCCTCCAAGATGGGGATATGAAGAGGACCAGGACCAGAGCATGCTGATTAACCTCTTTGGGCCACCAAAATGTGACAGCACCACGATGATCTCCTGGGAACTGAGTACTTTAAGACTAATTAGACTTTCATTAAGTGCCTAACTCAGCACAGCACACATTTAACCTCCTCTCATTACAGTGTCACACCAGTGTCCCTTTTAAAGCTCCAGCTCTGATTACCCTGAAGCCTGCTCACATCTGGGAGAGTCACCAGGACTTTCAGACCAGGAATTCCCAATATTCCATGTTTCAGGGAGCTTTCCCATCTTCAGCCCCTGGTCTCCTACCCCAAACTGGTGTGGGAGCCTATTCCAGAAACGCCAACTTGCATTCCTAAAAGACAGTTCACCTCAAAACATCAGGATCTATGACTGGCCTCTACCTTCTTGGTCAAGTCAGTTAAGGAAGATCTGATCCTGGCCAAAAATGGTTCCCATGTTGAATTGTCTTCTGCTAGAAAAAAATCCCCTGTTCAAGCCTCCCCAGAGTAGCAGTTGGAGGTAGCTGCAGGAAGGAGGGGAGATGTCAGGGGTGGGCTGCTGCTGCCAACACATTTCCAAGCGTGTCTTGCTCATCACCAAGACAAGCTCCACATGCTGCAAGACACAGAAATATCTCCTGCCACCTCTGCACGTGGACAGATTCTTCCCACCCCACCACTTCCCTCCGCAAGGTCTGTGTGGGACAGCGAGTGCAAAGAGGTTGTCTCACTAAAGCCATGAAGCAAATTTGGAGAGGTCTCTTCTACCTCTAGATGCTGAAGAACAGATGCTGCAGAAACCACTTTGGCAGAGTTACTTTGAGAAGTTCCTTGTAAATGACCACAAGCATCCCAATGTACCCCAACCAAGTGTGGATTCATGGACCACGAGTGAAATCAGGCTGTCAAGTTTCTTGAGTGTCCCAATGGTGCTGGAGCAACAGGATCAGTGTGTCCACTTCTCAGCCACAACCAGGAGATCCATGATCTGAGTCAGCAGCAGCAGGTCACCTCCCAGCTCTGCTCTTTGGCCACCAAAGCCCAACAGACCTGGTCAGGATCAGTGTGTCCACTTCTCAGTCACAGCCAGGAGATCCATGATCTGAGTCAGCAGCAGCAGGAGGTCACCTCCCAGCTCTACTCTTTGGCCACCAAAGCCCAAGAGACCTGGTCTCATCCAAGTATTCTCTATCCTTTGGTATACCAGTGACCAGGAATGGAAAGTGAACCTTCTCAAAGGGTTCTCACCCATGGAATCTGTGAGCCAAAGCATGGCTGCTTCCAAGGGAGCATCTCATTGTAGCTTTGCCCCCATCCGTTGGCTTTGGAAAGATCTCAGGTATAGAAAAGGCAAATCAGGAGAAATAGCAAATTCCACATTTTAAGATGGTATCTGAAAGATGTGCCTTGAAAGCCAGCAGACTAGATTAGCACAACACAGGCACATATTCTCCTTCAAAGATGAAAGTGGCAAGACAGAGCCAGAAAACAACAAATGACTCAGGAAGCAGCAGGGGAAAACAGCAACAAAATACTCAAAATGCAAAAAAATACCCAAAAAGCTGGTAGGGAAAAACTAAAATTGCTACAAATACAACCAGGACAACAACGACAGCAGCAACCAGCACCAGCACTTGGAAATTGGGAGACTTATCAAAATATTCCACCTACAAAAGGCTGTTAGGGGGTCTCTGGCTCCCTGTTTCAGTTGGATCTTGCCTCAAGATCAAGCCTTTGCTAAAATCTGACCAGACAGGGTGACAGACAGAGCAGCACGTGGAGAGGCTGGGCTCTCTGCAAGCATCCTTGCTGTGGGGATGGCATCCCACCAGCAATGATGATAATTCTGCATCTTCAGTGTGGAGCAGATGCGAGCAGCCAGCAAGAAAAAATATTAGCTACACTCTCTACAAATATTTGACACCCAAAAAAGGATTTTGATTCAGCCACCTTTGAGCCTCTTTCATATTTATTTTCTGGGAACATTCAAGGGCTCGAGCTGGACGAGGCCAGAGCTTGACAAAAAGCCAAGATTAAGCTCGAAGGCTTCAGGATTTGCTGGAAAATCATCTTTCAAATTTCACCTTTGGTGGTGATGGGAAAGGTCACACTGCTGGGGTGGAATGCCTAAATCATCCAACCAGCCCAGGCAAGGTGTGGCACGTGGCTTCAGGAGGAGGAAGCCAGCATGGGACTCCTCCCAAGCTGGTTACCCAGGAGGAAAGGGCACTGCAAAGAAATCTGGAGAGCCAATCTGGCCACGTGCTCTTCTCTGAAGAACTTTGGAGGATTTGTGGCTCAGCCATGTGCCTTTGTGGATCAGTTCAGAGATCAGGAGGAACAAAATCTCCCCCAAAATACCTCCACAGAACCTCGTTGTACCTGATCCTACACCAATCTCTGCTGATGGCAGACTGTGGTCTGCAGGGTCACGCTCTGCAGCTTGGACCTGTGTCTGGTCCTGTCCTTCCTACTGCAAGTAATTTTAGCCTCCTTCCCCCTCTCCTTGAGAAATTCTCCTTCTATTAGGGGTGGGTGCACAAGCCAGGTGGAACCCCCAACGTCCAGACCCAGAGGGATGTCAGCTTTCTCCCCGTGGCAGAAAACATTTCAACCCAGCCCCTGAAGAAGATGAGGTGGGGGTGAAGCACAGGTCTGAACCCCTCCAAATTGGAGAGCCCCCAGATTTTTGTTTATCATCATTCCTCTGGCTTTACATAACCTCCCTGCTGGAAGGGGGGACAGGACCTGAGAAGAAACACACCAGAGTGGATCTGACCCAAGCACTGCAATAAAGGCTTCACTTTGGGACCCCCCCAATTCCCCTCCTCCTTTGCATGGCCCCGTAGCACCAGCAGGCCGCTGAACCTCTGGTAGAAACATTTCTGTCCCTGGACTAATGCCCAGATCAGACCCGAGGAGCACCTCACCCTTATTCACAGCCCTTCTTGCCATGCCTCTTCCACACCCCAAGTCCTTTGCCAGCCCCCACTCAAGATGCTCATCCAACCACTGAGGAGGAACGAGCCCCAGCAGAGGCACCCGGTAACCCCAAGGAAGCAGCAGTGGGAATTTTCTTTTCTGAAAGCCTCCGGGAGGAAAATGAGACAGCCAATAAAACAATTTGTGCCTTCTGTCACTGTTCCCTTGAACCAGACCCGAGGATTAAGTTTTTCCTGTGAATTGAAACGGTTGGTAGGGCTGCTGAGTGCAGCCTGCCTCAGGAGGTAGCTCGGATCCTGCCTTTTCTAGGACATTTGTAATTACCTTGGAAACCTGCTCGCCCTCAGGTAAAGCCTCTCCCCTCCATAGCTCTGAGCCTGGAGAAGTGAAACAAAGGCACGAGCCCCAGGAATGAGGGAAACAATTTGGGGTACGTTTAGGGGAAGCTGCTGTACGGATCCTTTTGCAGGTTCCTAAGGAGCCACCGAGGGTTACCAGCCCTGCCTAGCAGTTAGAAAATTAAGTTCTCACATCAGGCATCCACAGAGGTGATAGGGACAGCATGAGACCCAAGAGAGGAGATCCCAACCCACCCTCCCTCCCAAAATCCCCCAGCCACCCTCCACTCACCCAGGAACTCCACTCCGCTGCTGTCCTTGGGGCTGCTCATACAGTTCTCCAAGTAAACGCCATCCTTGTAGCAATCTTCCTTCTTCCTGGTGAGCCCCAGGATCTCACTGGCCTGATCTAGGACCTCCCCTCCCGAGCAAGAGCACGGGGTCTGCATGATGCCACAGGGGTGGGAGCTGCTGCTGATGGCCAAGCAAGCCTCCAGCCACTTGCAGAGCATCTGGCAAGCAGCTTTGCTAGGGTTCCTGTTGCCCACCACGAGGTACTCCACTGAAAAATCCCTCTCCTGAACCTTCGTGGGTTTCCACCTCACCGGCCAGCTCTCCACGCCGGGTGGGGCAGTCTGCTTCATCTGGAGGAACTGCTTGTTGGACTGGAGGAAGGCGTAACGAGTGGACCCATCACAGAGCTTCAGGACATCATCAAAGCTCTCCATGCCCAGGTAGGTGCGGGTGGACTCCAGGAAGGAGTCGAACTGGTAGGTGCGGATGTGCTGGTAGTCACATACACCAGTAGGCTTGAGGATCTTCATGTACAAAGTGTACCTCCGAGGGTCAGGGTTCTGGATAATCCAAGAGCAGAGAGAGGAGTTCAACGGGAAGACGGCGAAGGAGGAGAAATACCCAAAGAATTTCCCTTGGACCAAAGTGGTGCAGGGAGTTTGTGCCAGGTCCAGAGCGACCACGGTCCACACAAAATAGAGTGGTGATACCAAAAGCAGGTTCAGGGCAGATCCAATGCTCCTCATCCTAGGTCTCGGGTCCTCTGGAACTCAAAGTAAATGTCAAGCAGGCGCCAGATCCTGGACATAACAGGGACCAGCTTAGAGGAAAAGTGAGAGTTTAAGAGGCTCTGGGTCTGAAATCAAGCCAAGACTCCCATGTCTGGATTTGGGCTCCCTCCTGTGGCCATAAGCAACACCTGGAAAAAGCAAAAAAAAGGAAAGGGAAGGAGGAGGGAAGAGAAAAGAGAAGAGATTTGGGATTTGGGTTTGTTTTTCGTGGTGTTTTCTTGTCTCTTTTTTTTGTTAACCCCTTGCAAGGCTGAGGATCCACACAGCACCCCCAGTCTCAGCCCATCTCACTGGGGGGGGGGAATGCAGCCCCACATCACCATCCTCACACTAGCTTTGGGGGTGTCCCCATCTCTGGGATGTCCTAACCCCCAGGAGGGACCTCACCATGGGGGACAACACAGCCGTGCCCCCCCTTTCCCAGTGCCCTCTGCCCAGCTGAGCAGAGCCTCTGCAGGGATTTCCAACCATCTCCCCCAAAAAAAGACCATTTCTCTCGGGGTTTTGGGGAGTTTCCACCCCTCTCCATCCCAGCTGAACCAGGGTGCTGGTTCAACACAGACTTCAGGCTGCCCCTGGGGTGGGTGGGCTGGAGGTCAACGTGGGCAGCCAGGCTCTGTCTCCTCGATTCCTCCTGCCAGCCCTTGGGTGTTTTGCTTCTTTCCAGCTCTCCTTTTCTCTCTCCTCCCTCCTCTTCCACCAAACCAGCACAGGGGATGGGAGTTGCTGTTCACTACCCCAACCCTGGTCCAACCCTGAGCCCAGACAGGAGGCCAAGGCTGGAAGGAGCCATGCACTCAGTATAGGAGGAAAAAAAGGCTGATAGAGACAGATTTTTAGGTTTTCCCACAGCAGGTAGCCACCTCGTTTTTCACCCCTCTTTGCAAGGCATGATGTTCACTACCCCAACCTGAGTCCAACCCTGAGCCCAGACAGGAGGCCAAGGCTGGAAGGAGCTGTGCACTCAGTATAGGAGGAAAAAAGGTTGACAGAGACAGATTTTTAGGTTTTCCCACATCAGGTAGTCACCTCGTTTTTCACCCCTCTGTGCAAGGCACCCCAAAGACTGGAGCATCTCCAGAGAGTGGGAATCCTCCCTGCCAGCCCCAGCACCTCCTCCAGCCCCCAAAGCCCCTTCAGCCCAAGCCACATCCATCCTGCCCTGCTCTGAGGGACCCAATCCCTGCAACCCTCCACAGCCCAGATCCCTTCTCAACCCAACTGCCCCCGTGCCCCCCTCCGTGCTGGAAGAAGACTCCTGCACCCTCTGCACTCTTCCTCTTTCTTACCTCACCAAGACCCTCCCGTGCTCCCTTCCCTCCATCTCCCCTCTTTCCAAGGGAGGAGGAGAAAAAGGGAAACACCATCAGTAGTGGGATTTTCTTGTACCCCAGGAGGGGACAGAGCTTCTCCCACTGCTGGTGTACAGCCACGGCACCTTTCCAGCCCGTGTCTTTCCTGACCTCTTGGCTCACCCCAGGTAGAGAAAAATCAGGAGTTTCCCCTTGGGTGAGGCTTGTCCTGGCCCTGCAGCACTTGAGAGGTTTCCCCCTACCAAGTCAGAATACTGCCTTGACTTCAGGAGCCTCCATGGTCCACAGGTTAGTGACAAGCCAGTGCTGTGCTGAAGTCTGAGTGCAAGCAGCCCAGCTCCTGAGGTGCTGACACTGCCCTGGGCTGCAACCCCAAAATAATCCAGATCTTCTGAGACTTGTTTCTTTGTCTGCAGGGACCACAGGAGCACTGCCAGGAAGGAATTAGGGTGCAAGTCTCTGGAGAGGGGCACCTGCTGCAGGAGAGGAGGGAAAACACATCTTCTCCACTGCTTTGCCTCTCCTCCAGCCCCTGGTGTCCACAGCATCCCACCCCCAGCCCTGCCATCTCCCACCACCCTGCCAGGCTCTGCCTTCCCAGGCTGCAAACAGAGGAGGCTTTCACAGCAGCTGTACAAATTCCCAGCAAATCTACAATTCAGGCAACTCAACCCAAGCCCAGGAGAGACTGAAAAATAAAAGATGAAGCCCACAGACCATCCCGTGCATCCGGGAAGACCATAATGAGGCAAATCCATCTCCACCTTCACCCCTTGGTTCCTCTCCTCGCTCTGGATCAAAGTTTTTTTTCCCTCTGCCTCCCCCCCGTTGTGCAAGAACCTTTCATTCTGGGGAGGAAAGGGTTTGGCCACTCAAAAGTCAGAGCCTCTATTTGCAAACCCTGTTCCATCCCAGCTTCAAAGCACTGCAGCCTCGCCAGCAGACTCCTGAGTGGCTGTTAGACCTGACACTGATCAGCACCGAGTCCAAATGACTCTGCACTTCAATTTTTCAGGAGTCAGGTCCCCACTCCTGAGGGTGGTTTGCAGCCTGCAGAGCTCTGCAGTGCAAATCCCCCCCCCCATGCCAGACTCCTGCCTGCTTCAGGGGCTGGATTTTGGGATGGCAGTTTGCTCAGAGGATGCAGAGCAGAGCTTCTTTGCAATGAAAAACCACAGGCATCAAGAAAATACCCTAGAAATTTCCATGGAGGTCATCCTGATCAGCAGAAAGGGTCTCTTGGTGATGGCTGTGAGTGCCTGAAATATTTTGGGTGAGTTAAAGGTGCTTGTTTAGCTGAGGCTCTGCCAGGGACCACTGGTTGCCCTCTCCCTGGCTGCAGGGCAGTCCCTGGACAGCCTTTGGAAAGCCCAAGTCTCCCTGACCTTCACAGTGATGAGCCAGCCAGGGATCATCTCAGTCCAGATCGTGAAGAAACCTTCCTCCCTTGGTTGGAAGCAGGAGCCAGTGGTGCTTCCATAGCAACAAGGAGATTAGGAGACAGGGCTTGCGCCGAGATCTGGTCCCTAACCGGTGACTTCAGCTCATGGGATGCAGCTCAAGCCTCCTGCCCTCCCCAGACCCAATTTTTCACCAAGGATCTGCTGCTGAACAAGGACTCAGGCAGCATGAAATGCATCCCCCCCTCCTCAGCACCCCTCTCTGGGAAAAGCACCCTAAAAGCCAACAAACTTTAAGCAGAGGCGTGAATGGGACGCTGCATTCCAGCAGTTAGGTCTCAGGATTGATCTCCCCTGAACCCACTCCCCTCTGGAAGGTTTCACCATAAGGAACATAAACATTTTTTTTCCCCCCTTCTGACTCAGTGGGAACTTTTAGTTAGGGCACAAACGTCCCTCCACACCTGGATCTTTGGCTCAACATGTGTCAGACCTGGTGGGGAGGGGAGATGTGATGGGCAGTTGAGCAGTTGCTTTATTTCACCAGAGATCTACACTGGAATCCAGCAAAATCCCAAGATGGGGGGAACATATACCACAATTTGCAGCCTGCAGCTGGGGAGTTGATATTAAAGGCATGAAAAGAATTATTCCAGTGTCAGAAACCACCTTCCTATGGTACACAGGCTAATTTGCCCACATTCCCATGGTAGTTGCCACAGTTAGTGGCTGGGTAGAGTGACTATTTCTGTAATATGATGGGAGATAACCATGTCTGCCTCCTGCATTCTTGCACCACTGCCCAGAGCCCTAGAAATCTTTTCTCTTTGCTGAGTATTTGCCATCCCACCCTGGTACCACACAACCCAAGAGAGACCTTCACAGCCTAAACAAACCCAGGCAGGGACAGAACCACGTTACTCCCTGGCACTTGGGCTGTCCAAAGGCTTTAGGCACCCGTTTGGCACTGGTCCCAGTGGATTTTGGAGCTTGCCAGCTCTTTGGTGGTGCACCTGATCTTCCTGCAGTCATGATAACCAGGATGATCTGAGGCTGGACCTTTCAACCATCACGTGGTTGTCTCTGTCTGCACGAGTCCAAACACACCCCACACCCATCCTGGGAGTGCAAACAGCAGGGGAGGTGAGCAGGGAGGGATCAAAGCTTCCCCTGACTGCCTCCAACCCCCTTCATCCCCTGCCTGAGTAGCCCTGACTGTTCACCCCGAGGTCTTGTGCCACCAACACCTTCCAGAGGGACATCTCTGTAGGACCGTGTCAGACTTTGTAGCCGTGGCCCAGCAGAGGGATTTGAGCTCTGCAGGAGCAGGAGGAGCCCGTGGAACGCAGGCAGTGCTGCAACGAGCCCTGCTTTGCAGAGCCTGTGCATCACACCGAGCCCTCCCACGTGGGAAGTGCAACCTCCTGCTTGCACATCCATCAACCCTCCTCGGCTGTGCTGGTGGCACCGGGCTCTTGGTGCTGCAGCCTGGATCTGGCCAATGGAGGGCACTCTGAGACATACACACGATGCAGGGAAAAAAAAAGGGGGGGGGAGAATCAACAAAAAATGACTGCAGAAAGGTCATCCTTCCCTAACGCTGCCTGTGGGACCTTTTCCAGCCTCCTCCCCTACCTCAACTCCCTCCTCTCTTCCCACCAGCTCGGATCTTCTAGGGTCCAAGATTTACCTCCCTCTGCTTCTCTTTCTCCTGACCTTGGCACAGGGCTGACATCCCAGCAGGGTGAAGAACACTCTTGTCACGCTACCCCTCCTTTCCTGAGGCTTCCCCCTGCCCTGGAAGAAGTCCCCAGGTATCCAATGAAATATCCCTTTTGCCAGAGGCAGGAAAATACCTGGCCTCAAAAATCTCAGTCCCTTGCCACCCTGAGAAAACATGGGGAATGAGAAATGAATATTCTCTGTCCTTAGACACAAGGAGCTGCTAGCAGGGGGAAAAAAATAGCTGCAATCGCTTGGAAATGCCTCTTTTTGGTACCAAAATGAGTAAAACGTGGTCAAAATGCCTGGAAAAACCAAACAGCAGCTTGGAACTGACAGCACAGAGAGGAGTCAAGAAGGGTTTGGATCTGGCTGCTCTTTGGCTCTGCTGGGCTGCAAGGAGAGGAGTCAGTCCTGGATGGCACCTAAAGAGGGATGGAGCTCAGACAGGTCCTAGAGCAGCCCCTTTTCCATAAAATCAGTGCTCAAAATCAGGTCTGCTGGGCTGCAAGGAGAGGAG